TTACTGTCACATCAAAGTTATCCAATCGTTTGGCGCATTGATACTAAGTGGTAGGACTATTTATGAAATTTCTTTTGTTAATAACTTTTTAATAAATAGGAAGCTACGGCTAGACTTTTCGATTATTATTTAGAAATGACTTGTATATATGACTATGAAAAACACAGTCTGAAAGACTGTAAAAAACAAACTCATCGGAGGTGTCTCCTTTAAACAGGAGTTTTACTTCAAGGCAAACAGTTCCCAAGAGTCGAGTTATTCTGAAATTTACATTCGTTTTATGACGAATTATTCGCGACGAAAAATTCCGTGCACACCGAACAACCGAACAGCCAAACGACTACTTCATAACTGATAGTGCTGGACATGCCGATGGATAATTAGAGGTAAGTTTGGACTTTGACTTCAAAAGAGTTATTCAGTAGCATATTTAGCGATAACTCACACACGCAGGTGCGCAGTCAATACAAACGAGCTTTTCGTAGGATCGACAATTAGAATACAATTACATCAAAGCTCCTGGATTAAAAGCGTGTGCAAATCGCCGACGTTGCGTGTGCAAATCACAGCGGTATAAATGATGCGGCTGCGATATACGATGCGAGATAAGATAACTCAATAACAATCTCTCTTTCTCTCCCTCTCTCTCTCTTTTGCGAATTTATCCCAAGTTGCAAGAATGAGCTTTTTATGTCTGCGTCCGAGGACCTTGAGATTGAAATCAATGTCGCAGTCTTGAGTTAGTTCCGCACGACTTATCGGCGATTCCAGTCAACGCAAATCTACAGAAAGCGTTCTAAGGACGTTCTGAGAACATTGCTACGTTCTAAGAACGTTCTAAAAACATTTTCTGAACATCTTGCACTATCTGCGAATGCTCTATTTATCCAAGGCTCCTAAATCACGCAATAAACCGCAATAAAACGCGAGAACTAAATTTAAAACTTAAAAATTCCAATTAAAGACCTTACAAGATTTTGACTTAAAAACCTAAGAGAGTCTGCTTTAATATTCGTTTTCTGCTTATATTCCTGCCTCGCATGTATGATTCACACATTTTCAATTTTCTTGTTTTAATTCAGACGATTTCGCAGAACTCCGGGTTAAAGCCTTGTTTAGCAGACTCCAACTTTCAGTATTACTTACAAAAAGCTAATTGCACAATTCATTAGAATCCATTAGAATCTAGCGAGTGTAATTGAATCAAACTCGCGAGTATAGAACCATAGACCTTTATATCGTAATGAAAAAAGAAATGTTCACTCACGTTTTCTTCGCAAGTCGGCTGTTCGTGACGTCGTCTGAGCCGCCTTGATGTTGCTCCACATCATTCTTCTCTTCTGCAGACAAAGTTTGCATATTGTACAATTGATATTTATGATATTTTATAAATTATTTTAATTAGTTATACTTTGAGCAGTGTTATTTAGATAGTTATAATAGTTGACAGATACTACAATTTAGAGATATGGAATTTCTAATTAAATATATTTTTTCTCCCTCTCTCTCTCTCTCTCTCTCTCTCTCTCTCTTTAGATAATTATTTAGATAATTATGATTATATCTATATATAGAGCTATAGACATAATTATATCTATAGATAGAGACTAAAGACAGAGCAATAATTTAGAAATTGAATTTTTTTAATCATGTGCTTCATGTAGCTCAATGTTTTTATTTACTTTTGTAGACAAATTTTGTATATTAAACAACTGTTTATAATACTTAGGCATAACAAATATCTTAATTAGATATATTTTAGATAGTTATGTTTATTGACAGAGAGTTATAGTTTAAATACTGAATTTTTTAAATCATATGCTTGGCATTGCAAAGTGTTCTTTCTCTCTACAAATTTTGTATATTGAATAATGGTTTATGATATTTATAATACATAATTATATCTATTGATTATGACAATTATGGCATAGTTAATAATGTAATCATTTAGATAGTTACAATAGTTGGTAAACAGCAGTTTACATATTGTATTTTTTAAATCATACATGCTTCTTGCCATGACAAGAAATCTTGACTGAATTCTCAAGGAAGATCCCTCTGTGTGTGATTCAAAATATCCATATAACTATGAGAACACTCATCTTAGTATATTCTCTAAATAAAAAAGTCAACATACCTCCGTCAACGTCCACACAACTCCCATACCACTGACGATCCTCTACCTTCACCGCCTCCATTCTCCTCTGCAAGCAGACAAAGTTACAAGCATATTAGAGCGAATCATGCCAATCGTCTCACTGTGTCTTCAACATCTAACACACACACAATACACAGGCGGTCACGGAGCACATACGACACACGTACAATGTAACAGAAGGCTATTGCTAAGAATGTATCGAGAGAGCCAACAAAGACCACAGACACGCAGCTGTCTTTCGTCTACTTCCGGGTGCATCGCTTGCTACGAGACAATGGCAAACGCACCTGCGTACGCATACATACACGTACCGTTCAACATATGGGTCCTTCTGCAGCTTTTCATGCGAGCACAGGATATAACCTGACTGATGTCTCGTGTGCTCCTCCTCGATACTCGACAACGGGTGATTGTCAGGACGCGACAGGACGATCACTCGGGGACACGGATTCACGGGCGTGCTAGCCGAGGAAGACTGACTAAAGTGGATTAATCGTCGCACAACGAGATCACGCGAACTTCATTGGGCGGGCATCATCTATCAAACACTCGCGACTTCGAAGTTATTCGGAAAGCACGGAGAGATGGTGGAGCGAGTCGACGCGACGCGACAGCAAAACGAACGTGAAATAAAGGAGAAGTAAGGATGACGCGTGAAACGAACTCGTTGCGCAATCTCGTGACTGATCGCTGTAACTCACCGCATCAGATGAGAATGCGCGCCACTTCGTAACGTTTGAAAAATTCGAAGTGGATTTACAATGCGTCCGGCAGTCGATATCAGCGACATCTAAGGCTGATATTTCATGTGTCGTACGACAAGCTTTTTGGATACGTTCATTGGTTGACGAACAGAGAACCTAGAAATACTCTATTCGCCAACCAATAAACGTATCCGAAAAGCTTGTCGTACGACACGTGAAATAGCACCCTAAGTCCCGGTCCACGATAGATAATTTAAACATTAAGGCCAAGTTTCACAACATCCGTTTAATTTTAACTACCGATTCCTAATAGTGATTGGTTAATTATGTTTAACTCTTCTTAATGGCTTGGTTTATATCGTGCACTTGATACGTGTACTATGGTCCAGTTCCACAACCTCCTTAAGTTAACTTAACTGACCGGTTATTCCATTAGACTTGACCAATGGCATTTGGCGTTAAGAAGAGTTAATCAGAACAAACCAATCACTGTTGAGATTTAACCGGTAGTTAAAATTAAACGGATGTTGGGGAACTTGGCCTAAATAATAACTTTCTATTAGATAATCTTAATATCGACAATGCATATCAACGGCAATGCATTCAATTAATACAATACGTTTGGTTGATGAGTATTATACCAGCTTAATATACCGTTGTTTATATATATCATCGATATTAAGATTATCTAATAGAAAGTTACTATTTAGTACGCGTATCAAGTGCACGATGTAAACCAAGCCAATGTCAAATGCGATTGGTCAAGTCCGGTGGAATAACCAGCCAGTTAACTGGAGATTGTGGAACTGGGCCTAAGCTTTCAAAATTGACCAATCATAGTTAAATTTGAGAAGAATAATGAACTGTAATTGGTTACTTTTTTTAAGTTTAAGACTTCAATCACTTATTATAGACCGAGACCAATAGAATTATCTAATAGAATTTGTCCTCACTGTGTTGAATTCTCCTGGTTGATTGTGTATCTTGAAGTAGAGATGTAATGACTTTTGTAATTTTCATTCCGTTTCGAGATAGAGATGCCCGATTCTGAATCGATTCGATTCTTTCCCCAAAAATAGGCTTATTCGTGTTATTTGCACTTTTCGTATTTAAAACTAGACAGAAATATATTGGAATGTTTCGAAGAACCAAAAACGAGATAACCAACTCGATTGTTTCTTCCAAGCGTCTGATTAGGCGTCCATCTCTTTTTAAAAGCAAAAAATATGAAACATGTAAGCAGCACGAACAACTCTTTTTCTCTAAATTTGTTAGGGAAAGAATCGAATCGATTAAGAATCGGACATCTCTATCTCGAAACGGAATGAAAATTACAAAAGTGAGCAAATTCATTAGGCATTGACCAATGAAGTTACAAATATTCTAGTAATTGCTAGTATTTGCTCACTTTTGTCAATGGGCGCGTTCAGTGGAAAAAACGCTCAGTGAGCAATCAGCGATTATTGGTTCTTACTGTTAGATCCCTAAATCTAGACCAATTACATTGACGAATTGCTCAACTGTTGTGTAACTGTTGCACAACAATTCGCTAAACGCACCCAATTTCACTTCGTTTTGAGATACACAATCGGGTGTATATCAGTTGGATACGGGGCAATTGGACACAGTCCAATCACAAGTCGCTGTTCCAAGGGACCTTACAAATGTCTCTAATCACACGGTGCTGTGATTGGCTGTGTCCAAATGCACAGTGTCCAAGTGCACCGCTCCCTACACAATCGACTCCCAGGGCTGCTATTCCGTTACCGTGGTTCCGACAGTTGTCGAATCAGTATTGTGGCTCGGGACTTATCAAGAATTGAAAGCTACAAATCAATCCATTTAAATCTAAACCCCTTAAAAACAACACCTACTGTAAATTGATGAAAGAGCCAAAGATATAAGTCTATGACAAAAAGAGAAAGAGAGAGCTTATGCAGGATTCACACCGTGTCCAATATCCGATGTATGACGTTCGATATCCAATAAGAGAACAGCTTTCTAGAGAATTCAATTCTTCATGGAAAGCTGTCTCCTATTGGATATCGGACGTCTACGTCTGATATCGGATGCGGTGTGAATTCTCCATTACTAATAGAATGTTCGACTGGCTCTAGGTTAATCCACTCTGGGTTATTCAGTCTCTGAGTTATTAGTTTATTAGTCGAACAAATACTTATAAGCTTTACGATTGGCTAGTAGAGACTTATGACGTCATTAATCGCTCTCGGAGCGATTAACCTAGTCAGTCGAACACGCTATAAGAAGTTGGAATAATTGGCTCTATAAATTAGAAATTGAGGATTGAGGATTGCGGATTAAAGAACACGCTTTCAGCGTGTGAGCGCCCAAAACGAACACAGCATTGTACTTACTTGCGTTAATTACCAATGAAAAGTGTCCTCGCAAAAATGCAATCGCGAAATTAATTTTCGTGAGATGTCCTCGCAGGAGGTTAACTGTTGTTTAAATGTCACTGGCAGTTACACGTCGACAAGAGTCTGACTGTTCATTGTGACTTAATTCGCACAAATAACCGCAAGCATGATTTCTTCTTTGATGTAAGGACACACCGCTTTAAAACCTCAGTAGTATGATCCTCTGCATGGTATACAATTGATTGGTGTGTAATTACAAGTTGAGTTTCAGTAAATTTATTAAGAAACATTTTTAGCTGTGTCTCCTCATTTCATCATCCTTTTATCAGATTATCTTGAACTATATATCATTCTATTTAATGTAGAAATATATATTTGATTGCAAAATTGATGCTGGTTTAATTAATTATAGACAGCTAATTTACAATAGCTTGTTTATATTATAATAATTTAGTGCTAGTTAGAAAAAACAATTTCTTTATATAATAAAAAAGATATCAATAGAAAATATATTTGTTCAAACTAATACATAGAACTTATTTTTGCAGGACACTTGTAATCCTATCTGTAAAAATGTTATTAATAATAGCTGCCTGTAAAATACTCGGTATGTTGATTCTCCTACCAATGTTATTGATAAAATGGAGAATGATATATTCAAAAAAAAGAAAAGAGAGACAACAAAAAGGCACTATTGTTGGAATCTTTCATCCATTTTGCAATGCAGGTGGAGGTGGTGAAAGAGTACTTTGGTATGGAGTACATGCTATACAGAATAAGTATGCATCTATAATCTATAGCATTTGATATTGTTAAGATACATATAATTTCCATATCAAATTTAAAACAATTTTCATATTAAATTTAAAATTATACTGTTTTTATTGTTTATACTGTTAATACTGTTCTTAATTATATTTCATTATTATTATCTATATTGTTTTCAGATATCCTGATTGTCATATAGCCATATATACTGGTGATCTTTATGTAAGTCCTGAGGACATACTCAACAGAACTGAAAAGGTATTTAATTTGAAACTGCAGCGAAACATCACATTTGTCTATCTGCACAGAAGAAAATGGGTGGAAGCTTCTATGTATCCCTATTTTACCCTTCTGGGGCAAAGTCTGGGATCTATTTGGTTAGGCATTGAGGCATTGAACAATTTTCTACCAGGTGATATATTGAATTCATTAGTATATACATGTGTGATGATTGCACTTTATAAATTCCCACTAACAAAAAGAAAATATATAAAGACCAGTTTACACTAAAAGTGATAAAAATATTAATAGTAAAAACGTTTCTAGTAAAACTATATTCTCCAGAGAATGATTCTTACTGAATGTTTCTAATATCCATGCTTCTGCAATGGAAAACACAAATTTTACCGACAAAGTTGGAAAAACTATTTTACCATGATCAAACTGCTAATAGCAATGTTATTAGCAAAAATTATATTCTCAAATATTTTCAACAAAGTTAGGAAACTTTAAATAGTTGATAAAGTTGTTATTAGCAAATATGTATATATTATACATAAAGTTAACCATTTTTGAAATACAATTAGTCAAGTCTCAACAAAATCTTTGTTGTATTATATAATAATTAACAGTGTTGCTAACATATATTTAATTCAATTTTCTGTTAATAACATTTGTTTTCAATATTCTTTGACTATCAAGTAATAAATTGTAGAAATGTTTTTGTCCATGAAATTCATAAAAATTAATAACAAAATGTGATTAACTTGTTCTATAATTTGTTGGAAACAAATATTTTCAGCAATTTTAAGTAGGACAATCTACATTTATCAGTAGCACTATTAGAAACACATATTATTAGCAATGTTACTGTTGGTTAAACCAGTCCTAAGAATATGACATTAATTTTGCACAAATTACAGATATATACATCGACACAATGGGTTACGCATTCACATATCCTTTGTTTAAATATATCGGTGGTTGCCGTGTTGGATCGTATACACATTACCCTACTATTTCACATGATATGCTGAAGTATGTCTACAAGAGAGTTATATCATATAACAATCGAAGAATTGTCGCCAGGAATCCATTTTTTACTATGGGGAAGCTTATTTATTACAATTTGTTTGCGTTTGTAAGTAATACACGCATGACAACTGATTGCTTTAGTCAAGGTTGAGTAATTTAACTAATTAACTAGTTAAATAGTTAAAAGTTAAGTTAAACGTTAAAAAGTTAATAATTTTTAATTTTAATTCTAGATAAGTTCATTTTTAATTTAAACCAGTTATTTTTTAAATGTATTAACCGCAACTTATTAATTTTTTTATATAAGTTAAAATAATCGATCAGTACTTAAGTCATTGTAAGCTGCTAACAATGTAAAATAAGAAAAAAAATGATGACAGAAGAATTTTTTGCACTCTCTGAGCGCTCTAATTATTTTCTGAGCACAATGGAACTATGTAATTCTGAGCACAAAACAGCCAATATTTTTCTTATAAAAAACTTTTCATTAATAATTTAATTTCCAATTAGAAAGTTAATTATACAAGAACACATATATATTGCTATAATTATACAAGAACATTATATATTGCTTTACATATAATTAACCTTTAACCTTAATAAGTTAATTTAAGAGTCCTTAACTTTAAAATTTAGTTCAAAAAATTAACTTACTCAACCCTGGCTTTATTTAATATAAAGAAAAAAATACGCTATTTCTAAATAGTTAGTTGGCAATACATCGTTTTAGTTATATGGCTGCGTCGGTAATTGCGCCGATACCGTGATGGTGAATTCTTCGTGGACGGAGGATCATATCAACTCCATCTGGAAATGTCCGTTGAAGACGCATCGCGTGTATCCGCCGTGCAGTGTGGAGCATCTGACTGAATTACCAATCTCTGACCGATTAGAGGATGAATATATACGTATAGTAGCTGTCGCGCAATTCAGACCGGAAAAAAATCATCCGCTTATGCTGAGAGCATTGTTTAAGTTGAGGTCAATCGTTAGTGCGGAAACCTGGGAAAGGGTAAGTAGACGATTCACTAGTAAAACAGAAGCGAACAACGCGAAAATATATCTTGATATTCACTATTTTCTAGGTAAAATTAATTTGTATCGGTTCTTGCCGAGATAAAGAAGATGAAACGCGTGTTAAGGATATGCAAGACTTAGCTAAACATTTAGCCCTGGAGGAGAACGTTGAGTTTAAGGTGAATATCCCGTACTCTGAACTCGTGTCGGAACTTCAAAAGGCCATGATTGGCCTGCACACGATGTGGAACGAACACTTCGGCATCAGTATCGTGGAATGTATGGCTGCAGGACTGATTATGATAGCTCATGACTCCGGTGGGCCAAAGTATGCGATCGTGCATTTCAATAACATTATAATAAGATTCTTGGCCGCGGCCATCTCGATTTTTGACACTAGAAGCAAGAAAATACATGCTAAAAATTCTTACAAAATATGTAGAAATAAAAAGATGTATCCATAAGATGACACTTGCAATTTTCAACGTGTATTTTCTCACTTGACATCATAAATCAAGATAGTTACGACGACTAGCCAGGAACCTTAACATTACAACAGAGAAAGATTTCTAATGAAAAAATATTCTCCAATTTCTCAGGGCAGATATCATAGAAACGCAATTCGGTAGTATGACTGGTTTCCTCGCGAAAACTGAAGAAGATTATGCTAGAGCGATAACATTAATCATATGTTTGAGTCCATGGGAACGAGATGCTATTAGACGTGCTGCTAGGTATAAATATATAACACAATGTGAAGCGCTTCTAATTATCTGATATTCCAATATTGAGAAAATTTTACTTTCCGCTTTAGATCATCTGTCAACCGTTTCACGTGCGAGAACTTCGAGAATGAATTCCTACGAGCGATCGAGCCGTTCTTCAGATTGAAACAAGAATAGTTTCGTCGCTCGTAATTCCTTTAAAGCGGTGAACCGCGCGTAAGTATGAGTGATTCGTTTAAAAATCAGCTCTTACGGCAATATGTTATGCTAAATATATGCAAGAATGACGCATATATGTAACAAATAATAATTATACGATTATTGTTATCAAAGTTTTATTATTCGCTACTCAAGTGATTTTTCGCGATATTCTAGTAACTGAAAATTCAAGAGTTAAATTTCAATGATTCGCATGAAAACAATATAAATATATGCATGAACATTGACTGCAAATTCCTTTCTTGACAACAACTGCGACAGCGATAAAATTATTGAGCATTTGACGCAACGTTCGCGTCGAGTTTGTTGAGAAATTCCGTGCGCTCCGATGCGACACACGAAGGGTCAAGCTTTGTTTGTATATACGGATTATTGTTAATCAGTCCACATCCTTGACACTCTAGAATGTAAGATAAAACTCCTTTGTCGTCGGTGTTTTCCGACAGATTGAAGTGCAGTCCACGATTTCCCAACATAATCTCAGCGACCTGCATGGCGGTCTCCGTGTGGCAAGTGAGCTGCTTACCACTGACTTTGATTCTCGAGACACCTTTCGCCAGTGCCATTAAAATGATCATCTGCAACACAAAACAATGAATTGAAAAAAGATGAAGTACTCGACATCGTGTCCGTGACATGCTTACTTGGTCTTGCATGTGCTCGTCAACACAAGCACCAGCTAAAAGCGGCTTTAAAATCTCGTTAGCCGCCGTTTCACCAGGTGATGATCTATCTCGGGGTCCGCAGCTTAATCCGGAACCACCGAGAATGCATTCGGTACTGGTGGTGCACACTATGCTATCAAATTACATTTTACTTGAATATGGATACATATTCAGGTTATACAAACACTATCGATAGCTCAATAAGAAGAACTGGATAGGTCAAGGATTAGGAGATGATCGTCAAGATTTATTGTTTCTGAAACGTAATTTCTGGGATGTTAATTCAAGGAAAGTCGTCCATAATTATCCACTATTCATTCGGCATTCGATTCATTCAACGGGATAAATTTTAAAAGTTTAAAAATTCCTTACTTGATACCAGATCCGTTTCCAATAGCCGGTTTGCTTTCCACATTACTTTCGACTATAATTGATGGCACTCGAATATTGTTTTCCGTTAATGTTTTCGTTAGAGTCGTTTTAGCATCGTTTGCCATCTTTTGCGCCTCCTACAAGATGTGCAATAGATTATATCAGAAATTGTAATTTGTTAGCAAATTCGTTCGCAGCAACACATACCTTTATGTGAACGGCACCGGCCACGTAAGACCATCCTTTTATTTCTTTAGGAACTCCCGGATCAATCAAAGTGACCGAATTTAAGTTACGAATCGGTTGTATGCTAAAACATACTTTGCCTCCGCCCTTCGGATAGTATCCCCTTTATTTTTTATTAATTTTAATATAAGTGTGAAATAAGGGGACGATATTTCGATATTCACTACCAATATTGAAAATTTATTAGTTCATATTATATACAGGGTGCCTGATAATTCATAACACATTTATTGTGTGCAGGTAGAATTCATAAAATTAAATACAAAATTCCTCGCACAATCATGTACCAATTATTTTTAATTAATAACTAAAAGTCTACATAGTTATTTGCAAAATGATAGAAGATTTTTTTGTTCAGTTTGACCTAATATACAAGCACACATGACAGCAGATGTTGCCATTACAGCGCATTTACCTATTGCGCGTAATCATTCACGAAACTTCTTTAATTAATAACTCAAAATTTTCGTAGTTTGCAAAATGGTACAGAAATTTTGTGTTCAATTTGACGAGTTTTATCTGTACAGTATCATGAATTGTCAAACATTTTGTATGTTATAGATTTTCAGTATTAGCAGTGAATATTGGAACGCAGTCTACATACAGTGATAAAATTTATATTAAGTATAATTCATATTAGCTTTGATATTCATATACCTGCTCCAGACTTCACAGTGAAAAGTTGCTCCAAATTTGCGCAGCATTGGTTGGAATACTCTAGACAAATACTCTATATGTGGTCCCATAGGTACGTTTGTTCCACCTTTGAGGAGAATAGTGTTATCGTGTGGTAAAAAGAGGGCACAAGGTAGAGCTACTTGAGCCAATAAGCAAATACACCCAGCAGTCTTTGTGTCTGCTACATATTCCCTCTGGTACTTGTTCAGTGGACCAGGCCGGTACTCCAAACGTGTGGATCCTATATATCCACCTCTGACCTTAGCATTACACATTTCTTTAGCAAGTTCTACACCTGTAACATTAAGTAGAGATTGTTTAAGTTTCAATCACAACGATAAAACATAGAATTTTATTTTTTGATTGTACTGTACATTTCAAATGTTGCGCTGCCAGACCAGGTTTGGGCCTTCCAGCACGTATATTCTCGATCTCAATGGGAATACCATAGAGTGTGCTCAAAGTCAATGCAATCCTTAGTACTTGTCCACCCTGTGAATAAGAATTAATATAAAAGTTAAGACATTGTATCTCTTCTGGAGAAATAAATAGAAAACAGTTTAGAACAAACAGAGAAAGCAATGTCACTTTATGAAATATATGTCATTAATATATATTGAGAACTGTATAAATTAAAATCTGGTGTATAAAATATTTCAATAGGATATTTGTTAATATCAAATAATACTTTATAGGAAAAAATAAAAAAACAAAGGTAAAATTTAAAGTATATTTTCTGCATTGAGATAAGCACTTTACTGCATATACTGCATACATATATATATATATATATATATATATATATATATATATATATATATATATATATATATATATACTATATATATATAAATAAAAATAATGTATCTTATTAAAGTAATAATGACAATGTCCAGGAATTATTATCAATGTTATACTTACACCTTCACCTAAGCTGCCGTCTATTTGTATGAGGGACGACATGGCGCGACAATTCCGCAGCATGCAAAGCACTTCGTCGTGTTAAAGGTACACTGGCTTTTAGCGAGTTAGTCTTTAACTTGTTGCGGATTAAAAAAAGAATTTAAAAGATGTTTGAGTAAAATAGGACGTTTTTTAAACGTCTTCAAGACATCTTTTAGAAATTTGTGTTGGTTTTTCTTTTTGTCTCTCAATAACGAGTAAAATGTGTCGCGAAAGACGACAAATTTTAGCCAGTTATTTTACAATATATTTTTCTTTTAATTATTTTAACGATAAAGTCGATGTGCCTTTAGCTTCCCCTGCGGAATAATGACTTTACGACACAATTTTACATTTTTTCTGTTTTAATAGGTTCTCTACCGCGTGACTTAGCCTTCCCCGAGGATATATGCAGCTATTTGATACTTCATAACATAAAAATATATAAGATTATGACGAAAGAGATCCTTTTTATAATAAAAATAATATTTAATATAATAATTTATAATTTAAGTTATATATAAATTTAATATAATTTATAATTTATATTTAATTTATAATTTTTTATAATAAAAAAATATTTTGGCAAATCTACGGCATTGAATTAAAACTTCTGAAATACCGGGTCAATAGTCAATTAATTTAATATTTTATTACAACTTACGAATATACACACACAGAGAAAATTGTTATGTTTACAAAGACATGTCGGGTTGACAGTCCTGTCTACTACTACCAATCATCAATGAATATTGTTGAGCGTTTCATCTAGAGGGGAAAGTATAATGCTCCTTTATACCGACTTTGGTTAACTTAAACTGCTAGTTATTTCAACGGAATTGACCAATCGCATTTGTTAATTCTAACAAAGAGAAATGCGATTGGTCAATTCCGTTGAAATAACTCGGTTAAGTTAACCAACGTTAAAGGAACAGACATAAGTTTGTTAAAAACGGTATTTATAATTCGATTTATACTTAACATCGCCTTAATTTATCTTTAGATGTCGTGTCAGCCATTTCATTGGCTGCACATCATCTTAAAATAAATGTAAGCAATTTCAAATATTTGAACATTTTTAGTACATAATAAAGTATATATTTATGATTTAAAATTATTCCGATGTTTTATAGATATGCATGTAGACCTACGATGCAGTATATTTTATTTTGTAATTTTCACCAAGGATATTGATATTGTGTATTGGATATTGATACAACGTAGTAAAAATTGTAAAAGTGAACAAATTCACTATGTTGACTAATGAAATTGTAAATCTAGCAAATTCATTCACTTTTGCAATTTTCATCTAGGGGTGCGTTCAGATTCCTCATCCGGGTGCACTCTATTACTAGAAACACTATAGTATATGTTACATATACTATAGCACTTTTAGTAATAGAATACACCCGGGTGGGGAATCTGAACGCAGCCTAGTGTGTTAGTATGTAGTACATATAGTATGTTAGTACACAATTGACTCCCAGATGTCGGATGCAGTATGAATTCTGCTAAGGCTGGCGATCTTTGTCTTTACCTAGTCGATGATTGTATTTACTTTATGATTATAACGATTTAAAATTTTGAATTCTATACATACGTACACCTTATCGCAAGTATTCGACATTAATTACGTCAAATGTAAAAAAGAATCTTTAAGAGTGCGATATCCTGTTACTTCAGAAAGAACAAGAGATCTGTAAGAGAAAGACAAAAAGGAAAGGTTCCTGATATTTCATTTATTATATAGTCTTAGTGACCGCGTGTTCTCTCGTTTAATATATTATCATATTTTGTTGATTCGTAACAGTCAACATGCAAAAAGGTATAACAGAATTACATTTGGAGATATGTCAACACGTTAACAGGTATTACATTGTATATATAATTTTGTTTTATCAAACCATTCCAAATAAAATTCCAACTTGTGCACTTTTTTACCAAACTGTTATGTTCATATTGAAACAAACGCAACATATTAAAGTATTCATTGTTGATTTTAATATAATAATTTTTGGAAATTTGAACGAAAATTATTGAACCTTAAAATCTGTTTGAAGTAAAAGGTTTTGAAAGATTTGTACTTTACAATTTAATGAAACTACGAACTATGAAATTTAATGAAACTACTATGCTTATATTTGTTTTAGTACCTTGTCAGAAGAAGATATTTTAACAGCTGTAAATGCAGAACTTTCAACATGGGAGGAGATTTATCTTGACACTATTATATATGGTAAAGATTGTACAAATCTTTTATTAAAGGAACATGTTGAATCTATGGTATGCTCAGATTATAGTAACCCAAAGGTATTATCAATTATATTAGTAATCTTTTGCATTAACTTGTTACAAAACTATATTTTGCACTTGCACTGAATATACATACTAATATACCTAACTATGTCCAATTTATCCAGAGAGAGAAGATTTATATTCAAGAGGTTGTTTTTAAGTTTTATGTCTATAGTCTAACACAAGAAATGGCTGCAACAGAAACATTGCAGAACGATTCTGAGGAATTTTCAGTTGCATCTCATTGGGTATTGCCTTCGCAAGAATTTCATCACATATGGCAAAACTTGTTTTATGATAATGACATAAAGAATGATGTTAGTAAATTTATATATATAATGCAATTGATTTTTTTTATATGTACCATAAAGAATTACTCTTCTAGAGATAGATTTTACATAACAATCTTGACTTATTTCAAACTTCTTTCTTCTTTTCTGTAGTTATTGCATTACGTGGAGACAACAATGTTATTTTCTGATCGTGGGGTTAATACTAATATTATAAGTTGGAATAAAGTGGTATTGCTGCACGGTCCTCCAGGTACAGGAAAAACCAGCTTGTGCAAAGCTTTGGCTCAAAAAGCTGTCATTCGTATGAAAGGTCACTTTACTCATGGAGAATTCATTGAGATTAATAGTCATAGTCTATTTTCTAAGTGGTTTTCCGAGGTAAGACTCTATTATTTATTTTTATCTTAAAAATTTTTGTTTTGTGAGAATTCTTTTTATATTTTGTTATTCTTTTTCACTTTCTCTCTTAAAATATATTGTTAAATTAAGCAAGAAATTACTATATTGTCTAATATCAGGTTTGTATTTTGCTATAGAGTGGAAAACTTGTTATGAAATTGTTCGAGGAAATAAAAAATCTTGTCCAAGATGAGAAAGCATTGATATGCATTCTGATTGATGAAGTAGAATCGTTAGCGCATGCACGTAAAGCGTGCAGCAATGGTACCGAGCCGTCTGACTCTATACGTGTTGTAAATGCTCTACTTACGCAATTAGATCAGATCAAGCGACACCGAAATGTTTTGATTTTAACGACAAGCAATATGACGGAAGCCATAGATTTAGCATTCATCGATCGGGCGGACATAAAACAATATCTCGGATTCCCTTCTGAAGTAGCTATTTATCAAATTTACCGTTCATGTCTACGGGAATTAATGAGGGTACGTATTTGTGTTCTCTCTTCACTTCTATACCAAACATAATAATATATAAATGTTTATTGATAATGATATAAAATAATAGCAATAGTAATATACTGCATACTTAATATTTTACTGGGAAATTTTATTTTTTATAAAATATTTTATTACTGAAATAAGTTTCCTAGTTTTTAATAAAGTATCTTTTGTAATGTTAGAATTAATATTCTTGTGCATGTTGCAGACTGGTGTCTTGAATCACAAGGAAGTATGTGACGTATCCGAGTTAAAAATGCTTGGATATGAAGAAACTTCAAACACCAAGAACAGTTTGAAACTGCTGGAAATTTGCCGTGCGAGCGTAGGTCTAACCGGTCGTGCCTTAAGAAAAATGCCATTTCTAGCACATGCTCTTTACTTAACTGGAGACTCGATTTCGCTATCTCAGTTTCTGAGAGCAATGCAATTAGCAGTTGAGAAACAAAAGAAAGAAGGTTTGCAATGATAATAAATGGAGATAATGAGAAATATTGTTTCTTTCTGTTTATTATTAATAAGACGATTGTTGTAAATTATTTACGTGTATCAAACGATAGTACTTGTGAAATATGCTTATTAACTAATTGAGTCATTCATCTTGAACAATAAGTCGTATGAATATAATTCAATATAAATTTTCTTACACGTTTAAAAGCTGCAATCGAAAAAATTTGGGTAAAATTGATTTTTAGCAAATATTCTCAAAATCATGAGATATATAACAATTTGTTACTTTTATTTGATGTTTATTATAATTTTGCGTATACAAACTTAATTTTAGAAAAATCCGAATACGCAATTATAACGAGTATTAAGTATCATAAAACTCTTTTGTCTAAAAAGTAATAGAATTTCATAAATCTCATGGTTTTGAAGATAGTTCCACGAAATTTTTTCTTTTTATCTCTTAAAATCTTAAATTCTCTTATTGCTATCTCTTATTTCTAATTATTTTACAATATATACAAAACCCGTTTAATTTGGTAGAGACATTTTCTCATCTTTTCTTGCATCAGTATTGTTTATTTTAATTTTATACCGCTGATAAACGTTAATAAAGATATCGGTAGCTAATATATCAAGATATATCCTGCTTTTATTCTAATTTATAATATGTATATCGTAATTGTAGAAAACATCTTTGCTGGACGTCAGCGAGATGAACTGATTTTGCTCCATCTTTTTTACAAATAACGGAACGTGATTGTTTCCAAAGGAGGATATAAAAAAAGTTCGATTTTTGGCTTCCTGTGAAACCTTAGTGAACTACAAAAAATTGTTGTTTTGGACCACATGAAATAATGAAAAATTTTATATCTCAGAAATACCGGGAAAGTAGATTTTTTGATGTCATATCATGTTCCCTTTTGTAAGTCGAATTTTCATATACCATGCTAGAACTTATCATGAATCGGATGTATTACAAAAGTTTCTTATGATAATAACTTAAAGATTGCCAATGCAAAACAATTGAATGTTTAATATTGTACTAATATTGTTTACATATTGTAAAAAAAAGAAATTCTACTTTCCTTACATTTCTGGAATATAAAACTGTTTTCACTATTTCATGTGAATCCCAAACAACAACTTTTTGTAGTTTACTAAGGTTCCGAAGGGCCAAAAATAACTAATGAGCCAAAAGTCGGACTTTTTTAACATTCTCCTTTAAAATTACTCCTTATCTACATGTTGTAGTTTAGTCCTAGAAACAAAATATCAAACTATATGACTGTACCCGTTTCTCTGTGAAGTCCACCTATTTTTACATTCCCGTCGGCTCCTGTTGGCGCGCAATCGCCATTAAAGTCACTGAGATGCAACCGCTATGAAAGTCACGCTTCGTTCCGCACCGACGATGCGGACTATACCCCACGTCGTTGTAGAGGAATACAGAAGGCTTTCTATATAACATTTATCGCGACGTGCTTCTCTATCTGTTATACTTAAATCACTATTGTAGCCTCATCACGATAAAGTATATAACAAGTAACACAGTAATAAATAACTTACAAATCCGAGAGAAAAAAATAATTATTCAACTATGTACTACAAAAATATAAAAACAATCGACAGTCTTTCGAGAATACTTCATCGGGGAACGAGCCCAATGTAAAATTCGACGTGAGAACACATGCTGTACCGTTGTTAATAAAACGTCAGTAAAAGTACTGAGAGTTATAACACTACGCTTTTATTCTAATTCTAATCTCCAATTTTAATATGTCGAATTATAGATTTTTGCATTACATTTAAACTGGAAGTCATTAGATCATTATATTTAATCAAATAAACCGGATCTTTAAGCCGATTAAATATTTAAATCGAAAATTTTATGCGGAGAAAGTTTAATTGGAAGTGAGGTTGCAAATCGAGCCAAATAACCCCAACTATCGTGAAATTTCACCTAACTGTAAATTTATACGCTAACTGTAAATTATACAACTTAAGTTTACAGTAGATGCTCGTTTCGAATATTCTTATGTCACTGCGTTATATCAATAAAAAAGAAAATATCGAAAAGTAGAATTTTGTCGATGAGAAACGTGACGTTTGATACCGACAAGAAACGTTCTGATCTAATTGTCAGCTAGGCGACTGTCCCTGTTTTTCAAACAATGGTAGGTGATTGCAGAACTACTGGCGCTCTCCTGACCTTCAGCGCTTCCGGGCTTATAGAATGTACTTGCTTTACGTGAGCGTAATCGTACGCGCTCTGGTCGCTGTCTAGGCTGGACTTCTTCGCTTTCATATGGGTGGGTGAGTTGACAGACTTTTGACTGCCCATCGACGCGCCGTTACCATATAGTGCGTCTGCTGCTATACTACCCTCTTCTCCCACCTCCTGTCGATATCGCCGACGTCGTAGTCGTAATATAGACCACACACCGGCGAAGATCAACGCGAGCACTAATAGCAGGCCGACCACTACGGCAGCCCCTATCACACGTGTCTCAGTGGAGTCTCTCACTATCAATCTGATTCTCAAAGAGTCTTCACCCTTATCGCTCTTCACCAAGAGAGTGTACATCCGGGCATCCTCTTTCTGCAGATCTTTGATCTCCAGTTTAGTCCAATAACAGCCAGTCATCATTCCATTCTCGATGATCGGTTCCAACGGCAAGGCCTCGTACTTCGGATGTATGTGATCTCCTGTTAAAAGAGAGATAATGAAACCGATGAATCGCACGGAAAACTCCTCAGCGAGTTGATTTGATTATCACGTTAACTGCCACGAATTCTGAACTGCTGAACTGCTGAACTGCTGAATTCATATATGAATCTCGTCAGATTCAAAATTTCGATATGCTAAAAATGCTTTGTAGCTTTCTATTCGATATTCTATTCGATATTCTAAATGTCTCAAAATCAATTCTAAAAATATCAAACAGTCTTTTATATATTCCTAAATACTTTTAAATACTTAAATACTCAGTAAAGTTATTCCTAATCAGATAAAGAAAACTGTGAGAAACTCACAAAGGCGACGAGACTTCTGCAACAACTCAGGCGTTAACTATACCGAAAAAAGAATCTAAGAAATAGTAAATATTTATTCGGTGTGAGTACAAATATATATATATATATATATATATATATATATATATATATATATTAACTTATACTAACATAAAATACTTTTTAAATAAAAGAAAACATATTTTTTAAAATTTTAAGAAAGCTTTAATTTTTCATGAAAACAATTGTTTATTCTATTTAAATAAAAGAATTAAATTTTAAGTAAATATATCACATTTTTTTTAATACCCACCAAATAAGTATTTACTATTTTTTATATATTTTTTCTTTGTAGTAGTTTCAGTGTAGATATATAACGTGATATTCAACGCGTTGTCTTTGAAACTGATTAACCATACCAGCTCGAATCTGATTGCTACCCCATTCCCAGGTGACTAGTTTCGGCGGCGGTTGCGAGCAGAGTCGGGATTTAAGTCTATGCACGCGTTCGCCGGTCCAACCGACCGACTCGTGGTTACTCGTGTGGTCAGACGTTGGTTTCGCCTGGATCTCCGGCGGGCCAGACACGTTCAACATGTAATATTGCTCGCTGTATTTCTCCCTCCTCACACCGTTGATCGTGTTGAACGCCATGCAGCGATATTCACCCTGGTCCGACCACGTGATACGCTCCAAACGAAGGCGCCGGCTGGAACTCTTGTTCGTAAATGCCGACTTGCGGCGAGTATGTATCCATCGGTACTGCGCGGACGGATTGGCATCGAACTCGGCACATTCGAACGGCTCCACCGTGGAGCCCAACAGTACCGACTCCACCAAGATCTTGGTAATATTATTCGCGACGTTTCCGTTTGTCTTCATCCTCGGTTCGTCTGCACATAAGGATTACTAACGTTATCCTATAGAATCTTGAGCTGTGGGAGTATCCAGAGTATTTTCCCCTTCACCGTGTCGAAGTGGAGAAGTCAAGCGTAAAATCGAGAAAGAGAGGGAAAGAGAAAAGTTCTAACTTTCATAGCACATAATACAATATACAATTGTGTAATAACTGTACGCGTAACTGTATACGCGTGTCTGTTGAGAGAGTTGCAAGTACGAGGAGTTTGTGTCACCGCGAGTACACCGTATCATTGCGCGGAGGAAGATGCCAAACGATGCGTATAGACCGTGTTCTGGAAGGAAGAAGTCGAGGAAGTGGTGGTGGTGGTAGTAGTGCGGAGGAGAATGGCGTATATATCGAGCAAGGTATAATTCTACGAACATTGCACGTTCAACTCGTAATGCGTGGCAGCGCTTTCACCGATGATGTTGACCGCCTGGCATGAGTATATCCCAGCGTCCTGCCTTTTGACCGGTTGGAAACGCAGCTTGGAGATCTGCACGTTGCCGTTGTTGATCTGCGTTCTGTTGTACATCAGCGATGGTATCGTGACATCGTTCAACGGCATTTGGTTTTTTGACCACTTGATTTCGGCGGCAGGATTAGCTTCCGCCAGACACTTCAGATCCAACACGCTCTCCAAATCTACTAGCGTCGTGGAAATTTCCGGGTTCGATACGATCCGCACTTCTGGCAAATCTGGAAGTCAAACGTCACGTTGATATTAAACACATGTCATGAAAAAATACTTCTTTATGGGGTATGAAATACAATGGAAGAATAAATTTTATGAATATTTCAGTTAATATTATAAGTGTGTGTGAGAATATTCTTTCTTTTTTTCGTGTGAGAATATTCTTATGAAACTGTTGCTTCTTCTTAGATTTTCACAGCAAAATCTGTGAGATAGTTAGAGCATAGTTATACACTGAGAAAAACTGTTTGATATAAGTCGTTTTCTTAGAAATTATTGAAAGAGTTCGAGAAATTTACAGAAATTTACAGACATTCATCGGATACACGTATTTATTGAGCCGAATAAAAGTATGAAATGAAAATCTTATATTTTTCACTTGCCCTAGCCTATCACAATCATGTAATAGTATGATTCGTTACCGAGTGCACGTACATTGTATGTTCAGCTGGGACTCCACACTGGCCTGAGACTGGCTTGACGGATGCGTGGCCACACATCGGATCGGCAGACCGTGATTTTCTCTCTGACCGCGTAGTTGTAAAAGACTGTAAGCTTTCCAGGTCTTCGGTTTGTTCACTTCTGATGTGTTTTTCTGTTCGATCGAAGGTTCTATTTCTTCGTTCCCTAAGAACCTGTACAAACAAATCCCATAATATTACATTATTTTGTTATAATACATTATATACATTTAGATATAAATATTAAGTATTCTCAAAGCGAGACGTGTTTTTTGTACTTTAACTCTTTATAAAACTCTGAATCACGCACACACACATCAGGGTTCAACTGTGATTTTGAGATTTTTTTCTTAACATTTTGTATATGCGCGACTATATGTTTGTAGAATTATTTAAAAATAAGAGAGAAGAGAAAGAATGTGTTTTATTCATTATCATTTAGTACAGTGATTGTGGTTGATGATTATAGTTAGATTATAAATTTATTATCAATTGACCCGATTTGTTCAAGCTAAGATTAAGTATCGATAGTAATATCTGACAGCATACTGCCAGACAGCATACTGCCAGACAGCATATTCTCCAAGGAAATGTGCGGGAATAGAAGAAAAGAAAATACGATCCAGCACAGTAATTAAAACAGAAAATTGATCAAGTTATATGAGTAGAAATTCACGGTCAAATTATAAGTTTTTCTAAAGTTTCATATTTATCGCAAACAATGTTTATAAAGACTAAGATGTTACAACAATTGCCATATATATAGTAACACATGCATAACTGTTATTATTACTGTCATTACCTATAATGTAAAAAATTGTTCCGAAAATTTTATAAGATACTATTTTAAAACATTTCTTGATAATATCTTAAAGATATCTCTTAGAGAAGCATGTTATCTAAGTTGACTTTTTTTTTCGAAATCTTTCAAAAAACAAAAATCTTTATAAAAAAACAATTTTCTTAAAAATCTTTCAAGAAACAATGATAACTTACTTATTTTTTCCTTATATATAAATAGAATAAATTAATAATTTAATTTAATTAGTACTACGATGGAGTGCACCATAGATTAATTTAAGGTTTACATCTCCTTTCAGTGAGAACAGAAGAAACGTTTGAGATACATGACACATGTTGGATCTTTCTAACTTTTTATGTCTGAAAAGTGTCTCGGAGGACCGTCTGTGAGTACGTCCGGCATAAGCGATCTACCATCTGTCGAGTCAACGTTGCTTTATTTAAAGGAAGTTCGGGATATCCTCCGGAAGCGTGTGATACTCTTGATTAGTTAGGAATGAAGTATCGCTCAGTATCGTTTTCGAATGCTTCGACATAATCAATCAATTTCCGTCAATAGGTCAGCCTTCGTGATAAAAAAAAAAAGAAAGGAAAAGAATGGTGTCGAAGGTCCGTGCCCTTTTCTAGCGTGATTCACAGGCGCAGCGGTGGCGGCGGCGGGACTACGCTCGCGGCCAGTTTCTCCGTTTCTATGGCTATAATCTACATAATTATACTCGGCACACAGCCGTGTCCGCAACGCGAAGAAAAAGGTACCACCGGGCAGGAATCATTAAACCGCGCGGCTATTATCGGTCGTAAAAGAATGCGCGCTCGATATTGTTTCGAGGCGAGTCTCGACCGGACGAATTCTTCATTAGGGCCGTGATCCTAAATAAACCCGTGGGAATACGCGAACGTTATAGCCGTCTCTGCTTGGCCAACGGATAATCCAATCGGTCATCGGTGATTTTTTTCTCTCTCGTAGATATCGTTTATAGTTATATAATGACAAAATTGCGCGATCCTAAATCAATATCGCTTTCGGGATAAGTCCGCGGGGATGGATGTCCGACAGACTGGATATCTCAGAGGTATCGTTTGTGCTGTTTAACGAGCTTCTCCACGAATAGGCAGCGGTAACGGCGGACGTTGTATCATCGAGTGAGCGTTCGCAATGTTCTGTCAAAGGGCCCCTTCATTAACGATCCTCTTGTGAGGTAGTACATATGCCGCCGTTCAGGGGATAAATTATACACCCGCCACCGCTGCCGCCGCTGGTGCTGTCTTTTCTTCTTCTTCTTCTCGGTGGCGAAGCATGCGCTTCCCGAAAGAAGCGCGTGCCATCCGACCAGATGTTTTACATCGTAAGAATACAAGATAAGGCGCGGCTAAATTCAGTAGAGCGTAAAACAAAACGACGATCCCTCCGTTCAGCGCAGCCCTTCCCTACATAAACATAACGTCACGGCTTCTTGCACCAAGCTAAGCCAAGCCAGACCAAGCCCAGGCGGCCACGACGGTACCAGATCACCATCGCCACGGTGTACGAATCGGCCGCTGTTCACGGTTCATGTTTGAAAATAGCGATATCTTCTGCGAAGTAAGAAGAAACAAGTGCGAGGCAGGAACATGCATAAAGCGCGCTACTCACAAGCTCCCAGTAAACGCCAGCTATCAGTAACATAACATCAATGTTATAATTTTCCATTCAACGATGTAAGTACAATATAACACGTGTTATGCAATAGTATACTGTTGAGTGGGAGATTATAACATTGATGTAATATTGCTGTTAGTTGACGTTTACTGAGAGGAAATCCACAGTAATGTTATTCTCAAATACTGATGAGCTTGTAATATGTTAAAATCGGAGCAAAATAAGGGGCATTTATTTTTTTTTATAAGCGCTTATCTGTAAGTTCAGCGGGTGAAAGACCTCTTTGAAAAAGAAATCGGTTTTTCTCTCTAAATGAATAATAGTTTATTGTTGCGTATTCATTAAACAACGGTTCTAATTTCTGGGTATTTGAATATTGTGTCGGAGATTTGATCTTTATTTTGCGTCATGTAGCTCGTGTTCCGATAATCTAACTAGATGAAGCGGATGTACTTATTATTTTTGCCTATTAACTGTACCCCGGAGAGGTATTATCAGTTTTTTGTCATATTGGCCATTGCCATGATATAAACGTAATTTTTGGAAATGTTATTTCCGAGGACTTCTAGCAGGCAGTTCGACGAAACAGATTACGAATTGAGAGTTCCTTCAATACCACATTACGCGGGTCATTACGGCCAACAATCGTTATAATTAGAGAAAACAGATTTCTAAACTTCATCAATGCTGTAATCATCTAAGAAAGTTGAGAAAGCGAAATTCGAATTTCGTTATAATAAAAAAAAAAGAAAACGAGAAATCTGCAAATGCAGAGAAAAAATCAAGTGAAATAACAATAATTATATGTATTAACGATAATTTAATAATTGAAAATTAATAATTCGCGATAATTTAGATATTAACTATAATAATTTAGAAGTGTTAGAAATAATTTCTAAATTATTGAAAGAAGGTATAATTCTTCTTCTAAACGTGAAATAAAAATTGAAAGAATTAAGAAAATGAAAAATATTTGCATATCGAGAATGTCGAAATATTAATTTAGTTTTATCTTTTGATGTGAAAATTTTTCGTAAGATGTTCGGCGTAGAAGTTTACATTGAAAAAAATATTTATTTAATTATTTGGTTTTTGGTTTCGTTATTTTCTTTTCCCTCGAGTTTACGTAGATGTATGTTATTCGATAATTGATCTTTCGGTCGAATGTTATCTGTTCCCTGTGATGGGAACAGGTATTTGTTCCCATCAGTCCCGACCGATATTTTGGAATGTCTTCAAAGTGAGGATTTTTCATTCTGAAGGATGGAACTTCTTCTCAGGTAAAAAGTTGCTCGATACCGAGTCGACCCAAAACTATTAAAGGAGTCGACCCAAAACCTCAGTGATTCTTTTCTTTGTGTCACGTTTCAGATTCTTTCAAAGAGAAGAACTTTAACATTCTTGTGTCATGTTCAACTTTTGTGTAACGGTGCTACTGGAATCTAATCGATTTATGGACAATATTAGTGTACAAATTTGTGGGAAGTATCAAAGGACAGTATTTATCTAAATTGAATTTTTGAACTCTTTTGAACTATGCCGCGTATTATTCCTTTAAAATTATGAAACATATATATATATATATATATATATATATATATATATATATAT